CAATATACACAAAAATCAACTCAAAGTAGATCAGAAACCTGGGAGTAAAACCCCAAAACATAAAGTCCATAAGAGACAAACTGGGATCAAGTATAGAACGCCTAGTCTATGGTATAAAAGTATGGCTAAATACAGCCAGAAATGCATAGTCTGAAAAGGATAAAAGTAATGAATGGAATCTTCTAATGATTAAATCTCTGTGTTCATCAAAAACTTTTTCGAAAAGGATGGGAAAACAAAGCTACTGACTAGGAACAAAGATTTGGCAATACCATCTCAAATGAAGGTCTCATATCAAAAGTTTACAGAATACCCCTGGACCTCCAGAAGAAAAAGACAGATAATCTAATTACAAAGTGGGCAAAAGACATGGGAAGACTTTTCACAGAGGAGGACATTCTGGTGGTCAAGAGACACATAAATAAATGTTCCAAACCATGGGCAATAAGAGAAATGTAAAGCAAAACCACAATGAGATACCATCTTACCACAGTATCAGTGGCAAAGGTTAGTAGAGCAGCAAGAAAAAAATGTTGGAGAGGATGTGGTGAGATAGGAACTCTTATACATTAGTGAATAATGCTCAAAGTCACTAGCTATTGGAGAGATTTCAAATGGCAGTTTGAGAAGACAATGCAAAGTATTATAACAAAATGTGCAAGGAAACAGAGTTGGAGAATAAAAAGCTAAGAAGTCACTCCACATTTTCAAGTTAAAAGTAGTGAAAAACAGATTCTAGCTTCAACTTGCAATATTTAGAGATGCTATAGACAAAATCTTGAATAAGCAAAAGAAGCATCAAAGAAGACAAAAGGAATACAGAATCACTGAACCAAAAGAATTGGTTAACACTGAAATACTTCAAGAAGTACTAAATGATCAGTGGTAATGAAGGAAGAAGTTCAAGCTGCACTAAAGGCACTGACAAAAAATAGAGTCCCAGAAATCAATGAAATTCCAATTGCCACGTTTCAACTAATACATTCAGACCTAGAAGTGATCACTAGTGCCTCTCAGAAAATTCGGAGTTCAGTTGTCTGGCTGACTGACTGGAAAAGAACCATATTTATTCCTATTCCCAAGAAAAGTGGAGTCAAGGATTCTGAAGCTTCATCTGACATACTTTGGGCATGTACCTCCTTGGGGAGGTACATCATGTTTGGGAGAGTGGAGGGACAGTGCAGGAGAGGAAGACCCTCGATGAGATGGATCGATTCTGTGAGTGGAGTGGTGGGAATGAATGTAGTTGAGACAGCGAGGTTGGTACAGGATAGAACGGCGTTTAGGGCTCTTGTACATAGGGTCGCTATGAGTCGCAAATGACTCAATGACACATAACAACAAACAACAAGAAAAGTGATCCAACATAATGTGGAAATCCTTGAACAATACCATTAATATCACCTACAAATAAAATATTGCTGAAGATCATCCAAAAACTGATAGAAAAGTTAGCAAACTAGAACTATTGGAAGTTCAAGCTGAGTTTAGAAGAGGCTGTGGCACCAAGGATATCAATACTGATGTCAGAGGGATCGTGGCTGAAAGCAAAGAATACCAGAAGAATGTCTTTTTGTGCTTTATAGAGAGCAAAAGCACTTGCTTTTGTAGATTGTAATAAACTATGGATAACATTGACAAAAATGGGAATAACAGAAACTTGATTATGCTCATATGAAACCTGTACCTAGATCAAGAAGCTGTGGTCTGAAAAGAGCAAGGGAACACTGCACAGATTAAAATTAAGAAATGTATGTGTCAAGGCTGTTTCCTTTCTCCACGTCTGTTCACTCTGTATGTTCAGCAAGTCATTAGAGAATCTGGACTCTATGTAGAAGAATGTGGCATCAGGAGGAAGACAGCCATTGTTACACAGATGACACACAATCTTTCTTGCTGAAAGTGAGAAGGACATGAAACCCTTGCTGCAGAAGATCAAAGACTACAGCCTTCATTACAGATTACATCTCAACACACACAAAAAAAAACCCCAACAAAACTTCTCACCACTGGACTGATAGGCAGCATCATGACAGAGAAAAAAAATTGAAATTTACAATGACTTTATTTTACTTGAATCCACAATCAACACCCTTGGTACCAGCAGAAAAGAGATCAAGAGACATATTATCTTGGGAATGTCTGCAGTTAAAGACCTTTCCAAATTGCTGAGGAGCAATGATGTCAGTTTAAAGACTTAGGTGCACCTGAATTCAAGCCATGATCTTTTCCATCACATCTTATGCATCTGAGAGCTGGACAATGAATAAGGATGACAGAAGAAAGATCAATGCCTTTGAGTTGTGGTACAGGTGAAGAGTAGTGAAAAATCTCATGGACTGCCAAAAGTCTTGGGGAAAATTACAGTCAGAGATCTTTGAAGGCAAGGATAGTAACACCTTGTCTCAAATACTTTGGGCACACTGTTAGGAAAAGGACATCATGCTTTGAAAGGTGGAGAGTCAGTTGAATACAAGAAGATCCTCAACGAGATGGACTGATACAGTCATTAAAAGAATGGGATCAAGTGTGTCAGAGATGATGAGGATTATACAGAATAGGACAAGGATCAGATTTGTTGGTCATAAGGTCACTATAAGTTGGACTTAACTCAATGGCACCTAACAACAACATTGTTACTGTTGTGTATCACTGAGTCAGAATTGACCAATAGCTGACCCTTCAACAGGTTTTCAGAGGTGAGTGGCCTAGTGATAAGAAGCTGTGCTACAATCTTGAAGGTACATGGTTCAAATCCACCAGGTGCTCCATGGGAGAAGGATGGGTATTCTCCTACTGTACAATTTACTGTCTCTGAAAACCTGCTATGGGTTGGTTCCGACTGTATGGTAAACAACAACAAATGTGAATGGGAGAAGATAACTCATTTTTCTCCCATAGAACAGTTGGTGGATTCAAATGGAGTGCTTTCAGGATTGCAGGACAGATTTTTACCACTAGGTCACCAGAGCTTCCTGTTATTGTTATTACGTGCCAACTCATAGCAACTCTATGCACAATAGTTCTGAACCCTGTCCTATTCTGAGCCAATCTCATTGTTTCTAGGCATGATGTTCTTCTCCAAGGACTAGACCCTCTGAGTAACATGTCCAAATTATATGAGATGGAGCTTCAAAATTCTTAACTCCAAAGAGCAACCTGGTTTCACCCTTTCAAGGGCAAACCTTTTTGTTCTCTTAGCAGTCTATGATAAATTCAATACTCCTCTCCAGCACCACAACTCAAAGGTATCAATTCTTCTTCTGTCATCCTTTAACATTGTTCAGCTTTCTGATTCATAGCAAGTAATTGTGAAGACCGTGGCCTGGATCAGGAGCACTTTAATCTCTAGATTAATAACATTGTTCTTCAGCACTCTGGAGAGGTTCCTGACAGTAGATTTTCCTAATGCAATTTACATGTTGATTTCCTTCCAAGACTGTGGAACAGAGTAAGCTGAAATTGTTAACAATCTCAATCTCTTCTCCATCTATGATGGTGCTTCCAATTGGCCCAATGGTGATAATCTTTGTTTTCTTGATGTTGAGTTTCGATATTGAAGACCACAAGAATGCAGAAAAACTGGACATTGTTAAGGAAGAAACGAAATGCATAAATATTGGCATACTAGGCACTGGTGAACTGAGATGGATTGGCATGGGACATTTTTAATCTGATTATCATATGGTCTATTATGCCGGAAATGATGAGGAAATACTGAGTCACATGTATAGTTTAAAAGGCCATTTTTAGATCCATCCTGAGATGCAATATGGTGAGCTACAGGATAATATCCATATGCATACAAGGAAGACCTGTTAATATTACTATCATTCAAACATGTACATAAACAACCAGAGCTAAAGAGAAGGAAATAGAAGATGTTGACCAATTTTCTAATTCGGAAATTGATTGAACACATAACCAAGATGCATTAATAATATTAGGTGACCAGAATGCAAAAGTTGGAAAGACCTCCCTAGAGAGATGCAAATGAAAACAAAAGTAAGGTATCATCTCATCCTAGTAACAATAGCAAAGTTTAACCAAACAGCAAACAACAAACGACAGGGAAGAAGTAGAAAGATTGGAACTCCACTGCTGGTAGAAATGTAAAATTATACAACCACTATGGAAGGCAGTCTAACATTTCTACCAAAAAAAGGAAAATAGAAAGCCCATTTGATCTCACTATTCCATTATAGGGAACGAACTGTAAGTAAATCAGAGCTGACACACAAACAGGTGTATGTGCACCTATGCTTACTGTAGCATTATTCACTATATCAAGGAGACGGAAGCAGCCCAAGTTCTCATCAGCAAATCAATGAGTAAAGAATTGTGGTACATTAACGCAGTGGAATTTTATGCAGAATTAAAAACAATACGTCATGAAACATTACATGATATTGAAAAACCTAGAGAACATCATTTGGAATGAAATTACTCAGTTACAAGAGGGAAAATACTGCGTAAGACCTCTATATAAATATAGGAGGTCTACTGCGGGAGGGCAGAAATAGAATGGACAATGAATACTGTAATGAATTAGGGGAAGGGAAGATCAACTTGGAATGAATGGACAGACAGACAACATGTCTATTTGCAGCGGAACATGCATAACTTATCAAATGTGGGGGAGAAGAGAAGGAGAGAGGGAGTGAGGGACAAATGCTAGGTCAGCAGAGATTAGTGGATAGATGAGTAGAGTGAATGGAAAGGCACAGTATGGTAAGGATTTGATGACATTGGTCAATTAGAATTAATTTTATAAAACGAAATATATACGAATTATTGAATAAAAATTAATTTAAAAAGGAATGGTATTTCAAAATGACATTGTAAAGAGTGGCACTCATTATACAATTATAATTAAGGTTATAAAACAAAATGTACATGAGTGACCAATTTTTAACAAGTTAAAAAAAATAGATTGCAGAGATTGAAAAAAAAAAAGATAGTTTCTCTATGAAAGACAAGTGAAGGAAATGAAACCTTACCTGTTTCTGGTTGGAATCCTAATGGTGATATCTGCTTGTGTTTTTCAAATAATTGCTTCAGGTTTTTATCATGGACTCCTCCCATATAGTGAGAATGAGCAACAACTGGACAGCTGAAAACAATGTTGCAGACGTCGCAAAATTTTTTTCTGTCCACTACTTCACTCCTATGCACCTGAAATAATAAAATCTTGTTACAAAGTTTAAAATCTCATGGTTTTTGTAGTTAGAACATCAATATAAACCACTCACCTGAAAACAATTAGGATGCATCTTCATATCCTTATCTGGCTCTTTAAACTGTTTCTCATGCATTTGAAAATAAAATCTAACATTTCGAGCATGTGTTTCACTCTGAAAAAAAAAAACAAACAAACACAAAAAACCATGCCTGTCTGTTAAATAATATCCAAAACACAAACTTACTGCCTTCAAGTCAATTCCAATTCATGACAATCTTCCACTAAATTTTTGAGGATATAAATCATTATGGGATAAAACTGTCTCATTTTTCTACCATGGAGCAGCTGATAGACCTTTCAGATAGCAGCACGATACATAATGGACTATATCATCATCCCGCATTTACACTGCTCTGGTGTTTAGGGAGCTGCACTGCTAATCCAAAGGTGCTACCTCTCTAGCACTTCAAATCCATCAGCAGCTCAGTGGAAGAAGGATGTACAGTCTCTTCCTGTGTGAATCACAGTCACAGAAACATGCTGTAGCGTTGTTATGACTTGGTTCCAACTCTATAGCAAGGAGAGATATTTTGAAGAAATGATTCATGAGTTTTAACATACTTATTCTTTAGTAAATTTATTTTTTAAAACCCTTCATGTTTTAAATCCCTATATTACAATTAAAATTAAAATAATGCTATAATTTAGAACTCATTGACTTATTATTAGGTACTGTCAAGTCGAGTACAATCCATAGTGACCCTATGAACAACAGATCTGAACCTGTCCTATCCTGTGCCATCCTCACTCTTTCTGACAGATTAGAGTCCACTGTGGCAGTCACCACATCAATCCGTCTGGTCAAGGGTTTTCCTCTCCTTTGCTTACCCTCTACCTTTCTAAGCATCATGTCCCTCTCCAAAGAATAGCTCCTCCTAGCAACATGTCCGAAGTATGTGAGGCAAAGCCTCATCAACTTTGCCTCCAAAGAGCACTCTGGCTGCAACCTCTCCAAGACATATTTGTTCTTTTGGCAGTCTATAGGATGTTCAGTATTCTCAGATAGCACAAGTCAAAGGCATCAATTCTTTTCCAGTCATCTTTATTCATTTTCCAGCTCTCAGATGCATAGCAAGTCATTGAAAAGATTATGGCCTGAATCAGACGCAATTCAATCCTCAAATTGACATCATTACTCCTCAATAATTTGAAGAGGTACCTAACTGCAGACTTTCCCAGTGCAGTATGCCTCTTTATTTCCTGACTGCTGGTACCCAGGGTGTTAATTGTGGATCCAAGTAAAATAAAGTTGTTGACAGTTTCAAACTCTTCTCCATCCATCACGATGTTTCCTATAGGTACAGTGGTAAGAATCTTTGTTTCTGAACACTGAGATCCAATTGGTTTTCTGCAACAAGTACTTCAAGTCCTCCTCACTTTCAACAAGCAAGCATGATACATTCCACGGAACTGATCATATATTAGGACACAAAAAAAGAATCAACATATTAAAACACATTAAAATAGTACACATTATCTTTTCAGACCACATGCCGTAAAACTGGAAATTAATGACATGATGGTAAGGCTCATAAAATTACACACATGGAAGCTAAACAACACTTTGCTAGGTAGTTGGGTTGTGTGTGTGTGTTTATTTCATTCACAATTGTGTGTGAGCTGACTGGATTTGCTGGACTTAGCTAACAATGAGCTGTGGGTTGGAAGCCTCTTGTTTAGGATCAATCAGGATCTGGTGGGTATTCCTTTGTAATTAAAAGTCAATTGGGCCCTGAATAAGTCTCCAGTTGGAGGCTCATGTGTGAAGTGATTAGATTCTGGAAGGTGAGGTTCTCTTGTTTTGGCTGAGGGTTGAGTGTGGACTGTTTGGTTATTTTTATTTCATTTGTTGGTGTTAATTGTGTTTGGGATAAACATTCTTCTAAGTGGTACAGCACTGGTCTGTCAGTTCACTGTACTGAGGTAATTTGGGGTTGCTGTGATATTGAATGCTGTGCCACTGGTGTGTGAAATGCCATAGTGGTTACCCATGGTAGACTGTGTTTAGTGGAGCTCCTAGATTAAGACAGGCTTGGAAACAAAAGTGACACCCACTTCCTAAACAACATGCCTCTGGAAACTCTATGAACTTAGAAAAACTACTATAGTTATAGAGTAGGGTTTTTTAGGTCTTTTGTCCATAGAGTTGCTAGTAGGCGTGCTTGACTCAATGGCACTTAACAATAACAACAACAGAACACAACTGGGTTATACAAGAAATTTTTTTTTAAAAATAAAAATTCTTAGGAACAAATGATAATGAAAATACAACATGACAAAACCACTGTGATACCACTAAGGCAGTCCTAAAGGGACAGTTCATAGTAAATGCTGTGCACAATAGCTCTGAACTCTGCTCTATCCTGAGCCAATCTCACTATCTTTGACACACCACCCTCATTACCCTAGATACGGTGTCAATCTATCTCTTCTGTGATCTTCCTCTCCTGTATTGCTTTGCTGTCTTTCCAAGCATGATATCCTTCTCCAAAGACTAGTCTCTCCTGGTTACATGCCCAAAGTATGTGACACAGAGTCTCAAAATTCTTGTCTCCATAGGAGCTGCTTGGTTTCACCCTCTACAAGACAGACTTGTTAGCTCTCCTGGCAGTCCAAAGTATGTTTAATACTCTTTTCCAGCACTACAACTAAAATACATTAATTCTTCTGCCATCTTTGGTCATTGTCTAGCTCTCTGATGCATAGCAAGTAGCTGGGAAGATCATGACCTGAATCAGATGTACCTTAGTCTCTAGACTGGCAACATTGCTCTTCAGCACTCTGGAGAGATCTCTGACAACAGATTTTCCTAATGCAATTCATAACAATAGGCAAACACACAAAAAAGGAAAAAAACAGCAAAATTAATTACATAACTCAACACCTCCATCAAATAGTAAAAGAACAATCTAGCCCTAAAGACTCTAGAAGAAAGGAAATTATATGGACAAGAGCTGAAATCACTGAGATAGAAAAAAGAAAAAAGACCAAGAGCTGATTTTTTTAAAAGAGTCAATAAAATGGACAAGCCATTGGGAAATGCAACAAAAAAAAGGTACCAATTTCTTGATTAAGAAATGATAGATATCTGAAAGGAATATATGATTATGCATTATATATGTGACAACAATCAGGAACATTGCAAAGTGGAATGAGGGAGGATGAAGAAAGGAAGAGGGAAGAAGGTATGCAATAATGAATGAATAAAAGCAACAACAACAAAAGAGAAATTATAGACTCAGGAAATCTACTGTTAAGAGACCTCTCCAAAGTGCTAAAGAGCAATTATACTCTAGAGACTAAGGTACGCCTGATCCAGGCCATGGTCTTCACAATTACTTACTTTTTATCAGAGAGCTGGACTATGCCTAGAGTGATAGAAAAAGAATCAATGTCTTTGAGTTGTGGTGCTGGAGAAAAGTATTGAGCATGGACTGCCAAGAGCACAAACAGATCTGCCTTGAAGAGGGTAAAATCAAGTTTCTCATTGGATCCAAGGATTTTTAAACTCTGGCTCACATAGTTTGGGCACATGGCCAGGAGGGACCAGCCCTAGGAGAAAGACATTATACTTGGAAGAGTGGAGGGACAGTGCAAAAGAGGAAGATTCTGGATGAGATTGATTGACACAGTAAAAAGGGTTGTGGGGGTAAGGTGTGTCAGGGTCAGTGAGACTGGCTCAGGATAGGGCAGGAAAGGGTAACATTGATGAATGGGACCTTCTAAAGATTAAGTGTTTGTGTGCATAAAAAACTTCTTCCAGTAAGGTGAAAAAATCTAGAGTGGGGAGAAACATTTGACAATAGTTTACGGAATACTATAGGGAATACACAAGAAAAAGACTGATAGCCCAAATACAAAATCACTAAAAGACATGGAAAGACCTATCACAGAGGAAGACATCTAGGTGGTCACCAGATACATGAAGAAATACTCAAAATCACTGACAAAATATGACAGAAGCAAATTAGAACCACAGTGAGATACCATCTTAATTCAGATCTTAGTATTTAAGTGCTTTTGAGTCGAGCATGACCCATAGTGACAACAACAGATCTGAATCCTGTCCCATTCTGTGCTATCTTCACAATTCCTGGCACACTACAGCTCACTGCGGAAGTTATTATGTCAATCCACCTCATTGAGAGTCTTCCTTCATTACATTGACACTCTGCCTTCACAAGCATCATGTCTCTCTCCAAGAAATAGCCCCTCCTAGCAATATGCCCGAAGTATGTAAGGTGAAGCTTTATCATCTTTGTATCCAAAGAGCACTCTGGCTGCACTTTATCCAAGACATGTTTGTTCTTTTGAAAATATATGAAATGTTCTGTACATTTCTCCAATACCCCAATTCAAAGGCATCAATTCTCCTATATTTCTTATTCATTGTCCAGCTCTCAGATGCACAATAAGTGATCAGAAAAACCATCACCTGAATAAGACACACCTTAATCCTCAAGCTGACATTACTGCTCTACAATAATTTAGAGAAATCCCTGACTGCAGAATTTCCCAGTGCAATACCCTGGTAGTAGTAGCAAAGTTTAACAGGAGAGGAAAAAATAAATGTTGGAAGGATCCTGAGAGGTTAGAAAGCTCATGCACTGTTGCCGGGATTGTGAAATGATAGTGTGAGTCGCAGGTCACACATTACAGGTCACACATTGGGAATTGCACATCATGGGTCACACATAGCAAGTCAGATGTCGTGGGTCGCACATTGCTCTGTTACAAGACACCAAGGTCTGTATGGCATGGCTAGACCCAGAAGCATCTTTGTGCTACTGTTTCCCTAAAGTCTGCACAAGACTGTGGACCATCCCAGGCACACTCACACTGTAACCAGCAATCAAACCATTCTGCTAGGTTGAGAACCTGCAGTTCTAGTGTGGTCCAGACCTCACTCTCCCCCAGAGCACTAGATTGCTGCTCTGCTGCCTGGAGACCAGTGTCCTAACTCCTGAAGATAGTCTCATTGCTGCCATATTGTCTTGCACCAGGAGCACCAATATCACAGATGAAACCATTTCATTCCTTCTCCCAGAGCCAGTATTTGAGCTGTGGACTCTTTGGACCTAGCCTAGCTACATCAGTTGCCTATCAAAGAAG